AGGCTGGCAACTCCATCAACGAAAAAAAAAAAAGTAAAATTACCAAGACATTTTGACTGAATATTAGATGATATTAGCGAACTCACTGTAATTTCCTTGGATGTGTCATATGTATTTAGGAGAATTTCTTAACGTTTTTTGGTTTCTCAATTTTTTGGCAGGGGTGTCGTCTGTTGCCCAGGCTGGAGTGCAGTGGCATGATCTTGGCTCACTGCAACCTCTACCTCCTGGGTTCAAGCGATCCTCCTGCCTCTGCCTCCCACATAGCTGGGATTACAACCGTGGGCCACCATGCCCAGCTAAGAGGAGAATGCTCTTATTTGTAGGAAATGCATGTTAAACCTTTGGGGGGCTGAAGTGTGATATCTACTATATATCAAATATGGGAAAATTATAACAAAATTCAAATCTAGGTATGTGGGTGATGGGTAGACATTCATTGTTCTGTTCTATTATTTCAACTTTTCTCTGTGTTTGAAGTTTTTCATATAAAAAGTTAGGAGACGTCAGGTGCGGTGGTTCACGCCTATAATCCCAGCACTTTGGGAGGCTAAGGTGGGTGGATCACTTGAGGTCAGGAGTTTGAGACCCTGTCTGGTGAGCTCCTGGCAGAGTTCAGGTGAAACCCCGTCTCTACTAAAAATACAAAAATTAGCCAGGAATGGTGGTGGGCGCCTGTAATCCCAGCTACTCGGGAGGCTGAGGCAGGAGAATTACTTGAACTCAGGAGGTGGAGGCTGCAGTGAGCTGAGATTGCACCACCGCACTCCAGCCTGGGCAACAAAGCAAGACTCCATCTCAAAAAAAAAAAATGTTAGGAGAGAAATATTATTTTTTCACATCTCACTAGCTATCTAGAATACAGTCAGGAAGGGAAAAAGCTTGGAAACTCTGCTGTCCATAGCAGCAGAAGGCACTGAGGGGCTGGGGAACTAGAAGGATGGTGTATATGTATGTATGGGCAGGGGTCGGGGGGATGCTGCATAAAAGCCAGGGAAATGAAAAAATCCAAAGATGAAATGCTGGCTAATATAAGCCAAGTTGGCATTTTATTATAAATAGTGATCAAAGAGAATTAATGGTGGCCACCCAGGTTCCCAGCTCTTTCATCACAAGCTTCTTGTGTGACTACATAAAGAACCTCATTCTGCTGAAGAAGAACCTCATCTTAAATCACCTCATTCCAACAGCCTGAGAAGCATAGGAGTACATTGTGGTGCCAGAACCAGGTGCCCTGGTGCCACCTGCGATCCCAGCTACTGCTACCTAGAAGGCTGGAGGATTGGTTGAGTCCAGGAGTTTGAGACCAGCCTGGGCAACCTAGAAAGATCAATTTACTTTATTTATTTATTTATTTAATTTATTTAATTAATAAATTAAAGGGTCTGGTTCAGTCACCCAGGCAGGAGTGCAGTTGTGGATCTTGGCTCATTGCAACCTCTGCCTCCCAGGCTGAAGCCATTCTCCAACCTCAGCCTTCCAATTAGCTAGGACCACAGACTCCCACAAACATGCCTGCCTAATTAAAAATTTTTTTCTGTAGAGATGAGGGTCTCCTCACTATATTGCCCAGGCTGATCTCCAACTCCTGAGCTCAAGCGATCCTCCCACCTCAGCCTCCCAAAGTGGGATGACTGGCATGAGCCACCGCGCCTTACCTGAGACCCTGTTACACACACCCACACACTCTAAAGAGTGCCAATGACACGCTGCTGCATGAGCCTGCGAGGAATGGGAGTACAGGGTGGCTGGATGCTCCAAGCTGCATGTTGTGAGGTTGTAGAAATAACTGATACTAGCGCTCGGCAGGCGACCCGCGGGCCAGGCGTCACAGGTGGCTTCTCCGGGCACGTTGCGCGCGGGTGTCGCTGCTGCCTGTGGGCCCCGGCCAAGCCTTCGTGCACCCCAGCTCAGGAGGGCCCTCCTGGACCCTGGAGTGGTCCCTCGTCGCTGAGAAGCCAGATGGGGCCCAGCGGCGGCTCGTTGGGGACGGGATCCAGCGCTTTGAGAGGCGGCTTCACGCTGGTGGGGATGAAAACGCTGCAGGCGCACAGCGGGAAAACCCTGCTACCCAAGGCCTCCGAAGGGTCCAGTGTGGTCCCGCGCCCCGGGACCACATGGGGAGACTTCAGCGCCCACATCACCAGGAACCTCTTCCAGGCAAGAAACTCTGTGGAGGGGGCTCGGAGACGGATCCCGCTGTGGTTCCCGATCAGGGACCTGGTGAGCTGGGCACGGCGCCAGCACAGCTGCGGCCACCCAGCCTGAGGCCCAGGCCACCCTCCCAACTCCCTCGGTCAGCAAGAACCCAGGCCCACACCCATATCTGCCTTTCCCAAACCGCTTCCCTGTTCACCTCTGCCCCGCCCCAGTCCAGAGGAGTTTGAGCCACCAACTTTACTACCTGTAATCTCAGCTACGCGGAAGGCTGAGGCAGGGGGATCCCTTGAGTCCAAGAGTTCAAGATCAGCCTGGGCAATGCAGAGAGACTCCATCTCTAAAATATAATTTTTTTTTTCATAGGCATGCACCACCCCACCTGGCTAATTTTCCTATTTTTAGTAGAGATGGGATTTCACCATGTTGGCCAGACTGGTCTTGAACTCCTGACCTCACGTGATCTGCCTGCTGTGGCCTCCCAAAGTGCTGGGATTACAGATGTGAGCTGCTGCACCTGGCCCCTAGAATTTTTAAATGGAATAAGGTAGGAGTCTCTCCAAAGAGGGAGTTTTCTTTGAAGATTACATCTTGGTCTGTGGATTCATCAAGAAACGTAGGAGGGTTTCCTGTACTGAAGTTGTTTGAACTCTGCTCTTCACCCCAATCCTTCTCCAGGTCTTAGTAGGTCTGAGCTGGGTGGGCAGCTGTCATCTTACTCTTCTCACTTGCCTGGGGTTTATAATGGAGTCTGCTTTCCCCAGAGGCTTCACCCATGGCCAAGTCAGAAGAAGATAGTCCAGGGGCCCAGTGTGGTGGCTCACACCTGTAATCCCAGCACTTTGGGAGGCTGAGGCAGGAGGATTGCTTGAGCCCAGGAGTTTGAGACCAGCCTGGGCAGCATAGAAAGACCCCATCTATTTTTTTTTTTTTTTTGAGATGGAGTCTCGCTCAGTTGCCCAGGCTGGAGTGCAGGGGCTCGATTTCAGCTCACCACAACCTCTGCCTCCCAGGTTCAAGTGATTCGCCTGCCTCAGTCTCCCGAGTAGCTAGGACTACAGGCATGTGCCACCATACCCGGCTAATTTTTCTATTTTTAGTAGAGACGGGGTTTCCCTATGTTGGCCAGGCTGGTCTCTAACTCCTGACCTCGTGATCTGCCCGCCTCGGCCTCCCAAAGTGCTGGGATTATGGGCGTGAGCCACCACGCCCAGCCACAAGACCCCATCTTTACAAAAAATACAAAAAATGAGGTGGGTATGGTGGTGCAAGCCTGTAGTCTCAGCTAGCTATTCATGGGGCTGAGGTGGGAGGATCACTTGAGCCTGAGAGGTCAGGGCTACAGGGAGTTATCTATGATCATGTTACTGCTCTCCAGATTGGGTGGCAGAGTGAGACCATATCTCTTAAAAAAAAAAAGAAAAGAAAAGGAAAAAAAAAAAAAAGATAGTCCAGAGAACCCAAGGAGCACTGCCTCAGTCTTTTCTGTGGGCCAGGCAACCCGAGGCCTTTCCAGGATTGGTCATCATGAGTGACGCACAGCATCCCTCCGACATCCAGTCAATTTCATATCCCTCTGTTCCTATGCCCTGGAAATTATGCTGCATTAACCATGTGTGATTTGATCTTGGAACCTGTTAGGAAATTATTCTAGAAATGGCGTTTGTCAGAACATGCTGGCACCAAGAAGCTGTAAAAGGTCCTTTCTGGGGCTGAAGGGCACAGGGCTTGGAATAGCGGCAGGAAGGGTTTTGCGAACCCTCTTTCTGAAGAGACACCACCCCAGAATTTCACATCCCCCACCATAACTCTTCCCTGGGCAGGCTAAGTGGCAGGCACCAGCCGCAGGGGCTCTGTGAGGTTGGGTGTAGGTAGTTCCGGGCTGTTTGCTCTGTGGATGGACAACGAAGTCCTTTACCATCGCTTCTTGTGAGGACAGTGCTTTGACATGCATTTTCAGATAATGTGAGTTTCTCAAGAATTTCTTTATGTCATCAAGCGTACTTGTGCCAACACATGGAATAGAGAAGGGCTTTATTCTCAAGGAACTAGTAGGCCACAGGGAAGATGCACCCCTTTCCACCTCTTCCCAGGTGGCAAGGCCTTAAATCCCAAACCAAGTGTCCAGACACTGAGCTTCAGTTCCCTGATGGCTGCTGAACAACATGACAATGATTCCCTATCACCTTTGTCTTGCTTTTATATCTTTTTTTTTTGAGATGGAGTCTTGCTCTGTCGCCTAGGCTGGAGTGCAGGGGCGCAATCTCGGCTCACTACAGCCTCTGCCTCCTGGGTTCCAGCGATTCTCCTGCCTCAGCCTCCTGGGTAGCTGGGATTACAGGCACATGCCACCACACCCGGCTAATTTTTTGTATTTTTAGTAGCGACGGGGTTTTGCTCTGTTGGCCAGGCTGGTCTTGAACTCCTGACCTCAGGTGATCCTCCCACCTCAGCCTCCCAAAGTACTGGGATTACAGGCATGAGCCACCGCGCCAGGCCTGGTTTTATATTTTCAAAGCATTTTCACAGCCATTCCCTCTCTTGGTCCTCACAAGTGTTTAATTAAGCAACGGCATCATATGCTTGAGCAAAGGGAATTCACAGAGGTGTGTGACTTGTCCAAGGATACATAGTGCCCAAGCCTAGGGGTTTGAGTCTCACACCATCACCCTCTCCTTCTATCATGGGCCACGTTTGTCCAGGTGGGTTGCAGAGAGCTGTGGGCCCCTGCCTTGACTTGCTGACTAAGTGGGTGAGCCTGGGCACGTGCACACACACTGCCAAGTACCTGCACCCAAACACAGGAGGCCGCTATATTGGTGACAGACTTAGGAAGTTGGTTTTTCTGGTAGGTGTCCTGGTAGAGACAGTTGATTGAGTGAGGAAGGACCTGTGGATATGGCTGCAGTACCTCTCAGAACTTTAATGCAAATTCTTTTTGTTTATTTATTTATTTGTTTGTTTGTTTGTTTGTTTGTTTGTTTATTTTTGAGACGGAGTCTCACTCTGTCACCCAGGCTGGAGTGCAATGGTGCAATCTCGGCTCACTGCACCCTCTGCCTCCCAGGTTCAAGTGATTCTCTTGCCTCAGCCTCCTGAGTAGCTGGGATTACAGGCATACGCCACCACACCTGGCTGATTTTTGTATTTTTAGTAAAGACGGGGTTTCACCATGTTGGTCAGGCTGGTCTCGAACTCCTGACCTCAGGTAACCTGGCCTAATGCAAATTCTTAACTGGACCGTGGAAGCCAGGGTTTGGCAGCTGGTCTCAGAACTTGCCCTTTGTGAACAAAGTGAGGAGAGGAGGGTTCTGTAAGGAAGGGCAGACACTCCAGCAAAAACGAGGGACTCACATGACTCCTCCGGGCTGCGGCTTGTTTAGGGGAGCTGCTCAGGCGACTGGTGTCTTTGTGTGGAGCCCTCCCTCCACCCGGCACCAAGCAGCCATCTGCATCCCCTCAACACCTGTCTGGGAGGCCTGGAGTGGAGGACACCTATGCATAGAAAAACAATCTGCCAGTGGGGATGTCCACACTAGGATGATGGCTGTCCTAGCGGTGATCTCAGGCGTTCCCAGAAGGCCTCCTTCTCTCTAGATGCCTTTCTTTTCCTGTGATCCTGTGAGCTGAAGTCCTGGCTACAGTTCCAACCTTATAGCTTTATGTATAGGTTTGTGTCTTTGATTCCCATCAAAATACAGGTGTCTCAGGGAAGACAGGTACTCCAGGCTGCCATTGGTCTCTGACCTGAGATCTCTTCCTGGGGGTGGAGGAGGAGGGAAAGAGGGTGAGGCTTGCTTTCAGCCGAGGCTGCATGGCTGCTGCTCAGAACGGGAGAGGGCTAGCCCCCATGGGAGGCACGGCAGGCCCTTCATCTTGATCGGTGCCCACCCTGAGCCGGCACTGGGACACACACTGAACAGATTGATGGATCCATTCCTCAAGAATAGACTAATCAACAAGGAAGGAAGACTCTGTCGCAAGACAAGAAATTTCTAAAAGGCACCTTAACTGAGAAAAATGAAGAGTGCTTCCTGATGGTGAAGGAGAACTGGGAGGAGGCTCATGCTCCGTAGGTCTCCTAGTTTTGTCCTTCTTCTCTGTGGCTGGCTTAGTTTATGGATGTATCCCGAAGGTCAGAATTTAAATTCTGGCTCCTACCTAAGGACTCCTTGGGAACCAAGAAATGTATAAAGGAGCAGGAGAATAACTTAAGGCCAAGGAGAAGACCAGTCCAGGGAAGGAGCCCAAAGACTGCCTTCCTCTCGCTGAAAGGCAGATGGGCTGTGACTGGGGCCCTGATACTCAGATGCTAAGAGTGGAGCAGGGAGCCGGGCGCGGTGGCTCATGCCTGTAATCCCAGCGCTTTCGTAGGCCAAATCAGGCGGATCACCTGAGGTTGGGAGTTAGGGACCAGCCTGACCAACATGGAGAAACCCTGTCTCTACTAAAAATATAAAATTAGCTGGGTGTGGTGGTGCGTGCCTGTAATCCCAGCTACTCGGGAGGCTGAGGCAGGAGAATCACTTGAACCCAGGAGGCAGAGGTTGCAGGGAGCCAGATCGTGCCATTGCACACCAGCCTGGGCAACAAGAGCGAAATCCAATCTCAAAAAAAAAAAAAAAAAAAAGGGCTGGGCGCAGTAGCTCACACCTGTAATCCCAGCACTTTGGGAGGCCGAGGGGGGCGGATCACGAGGTCAGATTGAGACCATCCTGGCTAACATGGTGAAACCCCGTCTCTACTAAAAATACAAAAAATTAGCCGGGTGTGGTGGCACACGCCTATAGTCCCAGCTACTCTGGAGGCTGAGGCAGGAGAATCGCTTGAACCTGGGAGGCAGAGCTTGCAGTGAGCCAAGATCATGCCACTGCACTCCAACTTGGGCAACAGAGCAAGACACTGTCTCAAAAAAAAAAAAAGAGTGGAGCAGGGAAAGGGGGAACTGAGAGCTACTGCTGGATGAGAGGATGCTGGATGAGAGAAAGTCCAAGGATGTTAAGAGTAGCAGGCTGGGCGCAGTGGCTCAAGCCTGTAATTCCAGCACTTTGGGAGGCTGAGGCGGGTGGATCACCTGAGGTCAGGAGTTCAAGACCAGCCTGACCGACATGGTGAAACCCTGTCTCTACTAAAAATACAAAAATTAGCCAGGTGTGGTGGTATACCCCTGTAATCCCAGCTACTCAGGAGGCTGAGGCAGGAGAATCACTTGAACCTGGGAGGAGAAGGTTGCAGTGAGCTGAGATCGCGCCATTGCACTCCAGCCTGGGGGCCAGAGCAAGACCCCATCTAAAAAAAAAAAAAAAAAAAGGAGTAGCTGTCCCTGGGGGTGCACAGCTGTAGTCCCAGCTACCCAGGGGGCTGAGACCAGAGGATTTCTTGAGTGACGTATGCCTGTAATCCCAGCTACTCAGGAGGCTGAGGCAGGAGAATCACTTGAACCTGGGAGGTGAAGGTTGCAGTGAGCTGAGATCGCGCCATTGCACTCCAGCCTGGGTGACAGAGCGAGATTCCATCTCAAAAAAAAAAAAAAAAAAAAAAAAAAAGGAGTAGCAGAACGCAGCTGGTGCCTCTTTCCCCTCCACTGGCATCACAAACCAAGGGGACCATTCACTTCCCACAGACCTCACACAACTTCTGGCCACAAGAAGCAGCTCAGTAAATGGCAGCTGCAGTCATAAGTGGTGTTTGTCCTCCGGAAGCCCCAGGTGAGTGTGCACAGCTCCCTGGGACCCTGGAAGGGCTCCCTGGCCTGCTCCTGCTGCCTGCCCTGATGTCCCCTAACACAGTCCTGGAAACGAGGGGCGCCTGGTGCCTTCCAGCCTCCTCTTACATGTTTAGTTCTGAAATCTGGGGTTACTCCATTCCAGAACAGGGAAGGAGCCCAAAGACTGCCTTCCTCTCGCGGAGATTGAGTCCTCACTCTGTCACCCAGGCTGGAATGGCAGTGGTGCGGGAGTCTCGGCTCACTGCAACTCGCCTGCCACCTACGTGGTTCAGAAGTGAGTCTGCCTGCCTTCAGGCCCCAAAGTAGCTGGGACTGATAGCGACCCCAGGCGACCGCCCTAGGGTATTTTTTTTGTTTTTTAGGTGAGAGACTGGGTTTCCACTAATGTTGCCAGCGCTGGTTGACTCCTGACCTTGTGGATTCCAACCATCGTTGGCCTCCAAATGCTGGGATTATGGGCTTGAAGCCACCCATGCCCGGCCTTTTTTTTTTTTTTCTTTTTTTTTTTTTTTGAGATGGGAGTATCTCGCCTCTTGTTGCCAACCCAGGGCTGGAGTGCCGAATGATGCGATCTTGGCTCGACTGCAACCTCCCCCTTCCAGCTTCATAGCGATGTCTCCCGGCTCCACACGTCCTAGTATCTGGGACTTCAGCGGGCCCGCCACCGACGCCGTAGCGTAAGTTTTTGTTTTGTTGTGAGCGATGGGTGTTCCACCATGTAGCCAGGCTCGGTCTCCGACGCCTGACCTCGTGATCTGCCGCCCGTCTCGGGTCCTCCCAAGTGCTGGGATTACAGGCGTGGAACCGCTGTGCAACCAGTCCTTTTTTCTGTTTTTTCTTTTTAATTCGGTAGCAAATGGAAGTCTTGCTGTGTTGCCAGGGCTGGTGCTCCAATTCCTGAGGGCTAAGGATTCCCCCCACCTGCCTCTCCCAAAAGGCTGGGATACAGGCGTCAGACCCATGCCTGACCCAATTGTCTTCTAGAACCCAGGATCAATCTGCCACGATCGAGAGTCATTTTTGAAATTAGGAATTAAATGTGTTGTTCATAGGATGTAATACTCAAGCCCCGCGGTCGTACTGCCCCTTCGTGT